ACATGTATTCCGTTACTCCCCAACACTGCCTTCAACACATGCCTTCATAAACTGATGTGACTTGAACACAAGGCCTGATCACTGAGTGTGCAACATGAGTGGCTGTGAAGGTCAGAAACTCCAATGTCATAACAGATTTTCATTACTTACACTGGCTTGAGCACTGTTAAATGGATGAGACCATGATAGCGTACTGGGGTTTAAATAGATTGTATTGAATTTGTAAGGTGGGGAAAAACAAATTAAGGCTAATTCTTTATGGTCAGTGAATACCGTAGATTTGGCACATGCCACTGTCAGCATGTCACTCTTTTCCCTTCCAGGTTTCTGACAAGTGGTGCAGGTTGTTGCATAATCAAGTATAGTAGGCGGGTGACATACATTAAGTACGCAGGATATAAATAGTCATGCATAATCTCCGAGAAGAGAGGATAAGAGCTTCCAAGGAGAAAGATCTCTAAATGAACAATACTGCAGTCAAGTCAGTAGATCCGACGTAGCACTTCTGCGTGATTGACGTTCCAATTTCACTTGATTTTATTCAGTCAGGGGTCGTAAACAAGACCCAACCATTTCTGGTTTAATTTAATCTGGTTGTCCTTGCTTTCACAGTACTGTAGCATCTGCCAGATGGCAGGAGTGTGAACAGTGTGTGCTGTGTTTTGGGTGCGGTCCTTGATGATGTTGTGTGCCCCTTTTCTGACCCGAGTGTTGTAAATGTCCTGTAGTGGTGGGAAGGGTACTCCACAGATGAATTGTGCTGTTTTAATGACACGCTGGATAGCCTTCCTATCCTGAGTGGTGCTTTTCCCCTACCACACTCTGATGGAGTTTGTCAGAATATTCTCCACTGTGCATCTGTAAAAGTTGCTGAGCAGTTTGGAGGTTAATCCAAATTTAACAACTTGAAAATGTCTGTCTGTAAACACCTCAGCCAGCTCTGAAGAGCGGACTCTCAAAGCACGGCCGGGGATGTTGTCAGGGTAGGCTGCTTTTCGGGGTTTGTCCTCCTCAGACCCTTGCATACCTCAGTTGACGTCACATTGAGTGAAGAACTCTGTGCTGCCTGTGCTGGTAGAATCCCTCTGTGTTGGTTGGTGTTGAGGTTGTCAAAGCTAGCGTAGAACTCATTCAGCTCGTCTGGTAGCGCGTTGCAGCTGACTGTGACCCTGCTGCTAATCTGCGGGAAATCAGTGATGTGTTGCAAGCCTTGCCACATGCATTGAGAGTCTGAGTTGTTGTAGTATCCTTCCAGTTTCAATCTGTGCTGCCTCTTGGCTTCCCTGATGGATCTACGTAGGTCAAATCTTGCTTTTTGTAGTCCTCTGCGTCACCAGAGGCAAATGCAGTGGGGCGTGCATGCAGCATGGAACGTACCTCACAGTTCAATCATGGTTTCTGATTTGGATATGTTTTATAGGACTTGGTGGGGACAATATTGTCAATGCAGGTGCTGATGTAACTGGTAACCACTGATGCATATTCCTCTAAATCCACAGAGCAGTCATCTCTCAAGGCAGCAGTCTAAAAC